GGTTCTTCATGTAGGATGAATCACTCCCTGGATCTAAGCATTTCTCTCTGTGGGCCGTGAAGAAAATTCTGAATGAGTAGCTCAAATTTGGGCTTTTAATGATTCAATTTGGGGGTGACGCATTGTACGTCAGGTGACGTATTCGACGTGGATTAATCCATTCGAACACGGATTAATCTTGTATATGGCATTCTCCCTCGGGGCCTGAAAACTACGGCTAAATCAGAGGTAAATATTTTAAGAACTAACTTATTTCCTTATATATATAAGTATGTGCCAAATCAATCCTCTAAGCTTTAAATTTGTATGTTATAACATTATGTTTTCTCACCGTCCTTCAGTTTGCAAGACCTGGAGTGAAATAACTCCTCGAGAACCGAGATCCTTGAAGCAGAAACGACCAGGATCGGGTGGTTTTGCAACAACACTCGAAGAAAGAGTAGAAGCTGCCGACCAAATTCAGGAGGGAGCATCGATAAGTGGGGTGTGCTGACCCATAGCAAGGGCGTCACGGCCTGGAAAATAAAAAAGCAAAGCTGCCGAACCTTGTCACGCTGTTTTACCTGTTGCCCTGATGCTGCTTGAAGAGTTACCAAGGACCTGGAAGCGAGGAGCCGCGAAGATGCTGGTGGTGTTTGAAACCTGGTGAGTGATTTCAGCGCATTGGTGTGTTTCATTCCAAATCGATTTTTTTGGCAGCGGGGTGGAAATTTTGGGGTTTGCACGTGGCTGTGTGGTATCGACGAGGCACGAAAATATGCTTCCATAAGTAGGAAAATATGCTTGATGAGTCAAAAACAAAAAAGATTTGCACTGGGGGCTTTTGAACTGATTAAGCAAATTGCTTTTAAGTCAGCTGATGGCGAGAAATGTTCCTGTGTTCTTGGTTATATGGTGAATACTGCTTGTGTTTGTCCTGCTTTTTTTATGATAAAGTCAACACCAAGAGCAACTATTTGTGTGGGAACCGCTGTTCCCAGCTCGCTGATTCTTCGAGAGAAGGGTCGTCTTCTCCCAGGAGCTGAGTAGCAAGGTGAGGCATGTCTCCCAACATCTCCTTGCCATCTCGTGGGAAAGATCCCAAGGCTCTCCTCCTGCTTTTTGGATGGAGAACGGACTCGAGCAGGTCTGCAAACCTGATCTGGCCTACAAGGTGTTTCACCGAGCCCGCCACCTCCTCCCGGAGAGGGCTTGCGTCACCTGGCAGAGCTCGCCTCACCTCTGACAGCCTGTGGGTGAGTCGGCAGCCAGTTCTGCTTTAGGGTGAGCGGGTTAACAGCGTGTGCAGTCTCACCGTACCCCACTAGAGGGAAAGCTGGAGGGCCATCAGGCAGTTTGTTGTCTTAAAGCGTGTAAAACAGCAAAAAAACCCACCCCACTACATACCACATCCTTTGTCCTCTGCACCAACAATGCAGGGAAATAACAGGAATAAGTGAAAAGCGCATTTTCGGTGGGTTGTAAACAGCTTGGTTAATGCCAGCGCAAAGTCTGAACTTGTATTTTCTGTGGAAAACAGAGGCAAGGCAGGTGAGCATAGGTCAGCTGTCCTTGTTTGTAAAAAAACCAAAGAGAAACAGGCAATCCCAGCGCATTGTCTGCATCTCTCTCCCCAGCTAAGTCCTGGCTTACAGATTTGCAGCTTGTTAGGGCCCTTAACTGACTGTGAATCTTGGGCGTTGCCCGGGCGTGTGGTGAGATTTCAAAACACGCAGGGCCAGAAACCAGGCGATCAAGCCTGTCCACTCTGTTGCACTTAGAGCTGGGCTGGCAAACACGGCTGCTGCTGATTCAGAGCTCAAGAAAAAGGCCCAGCTCATGGTGTAGTCGCTGGAGCGAGCTTACGTCCTCCGGTGTGTTTCCTAGGGCTTTGGATTCAGGGGGCAAAGCTGAGATCGTGTTTTGGAAGCAGGGCTCTCCCTCTTGAGAGAAGCCGTTGAGATCACAGGCTGTGTTTCTGTCCAAATTACACAGTGTCATCCTCCAACAACAAGCAGCACAACCTCTGGGCTCAGCCTCAGAGCAGCGTGTGGCCAACTCAGGGCAACTCACTGCACTTTTTTGCAGGTCCCCTTCTCCCAGGTCAGTAATTATTCTCCTTGCCTTACAGATGGGGAGGCTGAATCACCCCGAGACAACTTGCCTCAGGCCGGAAAGCAGGACGAGCTCTCCCCGTGCAGCTCATCGGTCGAGCGGTCCCTTATTCACCTTTGCTCTCCGGGGGCTGCCGGTTCAGCTGGAAACCACAGAGCCTTCTGGGTGACGTTTTCCTCTCCTCCCACTGAATCAGCCTTTTATTTGCTCTTTGGAATGCAAAGTAACAGGACACCCTGTGAGTTTTATCTCTCTTTTGTATCGCTGGGGAAGTTGCCCGACCGGATTGAATGATTTAGCCGCAGACAGGGGATGGGGCGGTTTCGGGGTTGTTTGGCAGGAATCTGGGTGGGAGGGCACTGCGGGTGAAATTTGAATTTCGGGAGTCACGCTGAGAACAGAATCCTTGGGAGGAAAACCCTTTGTCGCTGTTTGAACGTGGATGGATGGATGGTGCTCCTTCGGGAGCTGGAATTACCGGGAACTGCCTCCTGCAGAAGACGATTCCCCCCGCAGGCAGCCCGCCTCCAGCCCTTATGTAAGCAATTCCCTTCTCCCTTCTTTCCCTTGGATGGTGCTCCCGGGGCTGGGAGCTGATGCGGAAGTGTCCTGCCTGCTCAGACGGAGTTTGCTGCTCCAGTAGCTAATCCCTGCCCAGTCTGGGACTCTCTTGGGGGTCGAGCTCCCGGCGGTTTCGCCCTTGCGACTCGCTGACAAAGACGGACCTGGTTCTCAGATTTCGGCAGTGCCTAAAGCAAACTTCTCTCCTTCCTCCCCAAAGGCGGAAAAACCTCGGCTTACTGCTCTCATAATGCTGTTGTGGCCGCACTGATACGAAGAGACATCGTTTGAGGGAGCTTTTATTGAATGAACTGAGCTGAACGGGAAGAAAGAGAAGCTTTCTTGCTGACGGCTGCCGTTGCACCTGGGTCTCAGATTTCGGCAGTGCCTAAAGCAAACTTCTCTCCTTCCTCCCCAAAGGCGGAAAAACCTCGGCTTACTGCTCTCATAATGCTGTTGTGGCCGCACTGATACGAAGAGACATCGTTTGAGGGAGCTTTTATTGAATGAACTGAGCTGAACGGGAAGAAAGAGAAGCTTTCTTGCTGACGGCTGCCGTTGCACCTGGGTAAGCGGCTCGATCTTTCTGCTTCGTAGCGAGTTGTCTGGGCTCAGCATCCTACAGTCAGGTTGGAAGCATCGTACCGCGAAAGCACGTGGCAGATTGTTAATTGGGAATTGGTGCTTTGATGTTTTGGGACCCAGAAAGAGGGGACTCTCGTCTCCTGTGGTGACTTGGCAGCTCAGCCACAAAATAAATCACTGCTTCAGCAGCAGAGAAACGGGAATCCTGCCATTTGGAGCTCTGAACCAGCTGCCTCCCAGCTGCGTTATATTTTACGTTTAGGACGTGTATTGCTTTCTAGTTTCCCCCAGTTTGAATGGGTTCGTTTGTAAAATGTCAGTGGCTTGAGTGACAGGAGTCCTGGGGCGCTTGCAGCGTTGTGTGAAAACAAGAGTTGTGGATTTTTGCAGGAGATGCTTTAGGCCTCAGAGAGCGAGTCTGCATCTCGCCCTCATTTAGCCACATCCCCGAGCACGGGTGTTCGCCTGGCACCTGCCTGGAGGAGGTATGAAACAGGAGGAGAAGTCTGCAGTAACCAAGAGCAGTGGTTCAGCTCGGTTTAGCTGCTTTGTACCTCCAATAGTTTCATGGGGGTATTAACTCAGGCTGGAGCAGCTCCAGTCAGCCCGGCAGGGAGTGGCTGCACCACTGGAGAGCTGGGCAGGTTGGGGAGAGCTGAGAGCAGCTCCTGACATCAGCCGGGCAGGCGGTTTCAGCAGGCTGACTAACAAAGCCACCTTTTGAAGGGGAATACCTTCAATCCGGAGAGACTTCCTGCTGCGGGCAGCGCTCAACAAGAGGGTGAGATTCTGGGAGCTGCTGAGGGAGCAGGGAAGGCAGTTCCACAAGTTTTTCTTTGAGAGAGCACAGGAGTTACGCTGTGTTGTTCACCTAGGCAGGATCAGAGGCCTGACACCATCTCTGTTTTTTCCCCGCAGAGAAACACAAGAAGGGGAAAACAATGAAGTAAGACTGTGTCAGGAATGTAGTTTGCGCTTTAAAAACCCTCTTTCAAACCTGCATTGAGAGCATTCTCAGAACCCAGGGCTTTCCTGCTGGTCCCTCCTTTTTTTCCTCTGGGGACATCATTTAATATCAGACCTTAAGGTCCCTGGGAGCTGTTGCTGATCTGTGAGCAACGCTCCGAGTCGTATCCAAAGCCAAATTCGGGTGCATGTGCGATTTCAGCTGGTTGTGTTGCATCTGGTCTCTGGTAAGAGATGGCTCCTTCCTCACGTGCTGTAGCCTCGCTGAGAGCAGGTTTCAGGCTCAGGGAATATTTTGCTTTGGCAGCCCCTCCCCTCAATGTACCAGATGTTTTGGGGAACAGCTGGCTTGTCCCAGGGGCTGGTTGTCGTCACTCAAAAAAGGGATAGGACCTTGGGTACGTAAAGCTTTGCCCTGGAAAACAGTTTATGTCCATCTTGCCTGCTGCAGGTTGGTAAAAGACACTCTATTTTTGGTTTTATTTCTTGAAGCAAAGTGTGTGGCTGAAGGGTCTCGGGACGACGCCAGGCTTTGGGGCACGGCGTTTCGGGCGCGACGCTTCCCCTTAATTTCCCCGCGGTGAAGCGGGAGAGGCGAGAGAACCACGTTGGGGCGGAGCGGGGAGGAGGGTGACCCCGCCGGGTGTTTCCGCCTTCCCCTACACCTGCCCGGAGCGAGGAGAGGAGGGGCTGGGCGCCGGGCCGAGCCCTTCGAGCTGAAGATCGACCTCACCATGGCCGCCTGAGCCGGCGCGGAAGCCGCCCTCGCCATGGAGCGGGGCCCCACGGCTGGCATGAGGTACAGCGCCCAGCCCCAGGTGAGAGCGGGGACAGGGTGGTGGGGCTCCCCTAAAAGCTTCACCGAGCTTGCTTCAGTTCCTTCGAGCCTCCCAGGACTGAGTGGGGCAGCTCCGGATCTGACGGAAGTAGGAGAAGGTCAGGAGAAACGCATTCTTGGGAGGGGATGTCGCTGAGTCCAGCGGAGGAGAAAAAGCAAAAGCAGCTTTGGGGAAGTGGAAATCCCCGGTGTTAGTTCCAACGCTGCCAGAGCTCTGAGGGTTTTGGTTTCAGCTTTAAGTGAGGCGCTGGGGATGTGAGGTGAGCTGTCTCGGGTTGTTTAGCAACAGCTCTACCTAAACCTGTTCAAGCTGCCAGGAGGTCTGGCTTGAACCGAGGGCTCTGGGGCTTTGTTAATTAACTGATGCCTTATCGGCGTGCTTTGAAACTTGAGCTGTGGTCTTGGCTTTTCGGGTAGCTCTTCCTGGCTGAGGGTCAGGTTTTGGATTGCGCCTTCCGTGGTTTTTCCAAACCGGGCTTTTAGGTTCCAGCACGACAGCTTTCCAGCTCTCCTCCCTGGTGCTGATCTCTGAGACCTGGCTTTTAGGGGTTGTTATCTGGCAGCAGCAAAGAAGCCTTGAGCATCGCTCAGAAAGGTGGCCTACAGCAAGAAAAAGTTTCCCTCGCCTCACGTGGCTGCCAGAAGCGCGAAGGAGATGCTCGCGCTGATACCGTTCAGCTCGAGCTCCTTGTTCCCTGCCTGGGTCAGGGTGACACCGCTGGGTGCCCCATGATCTTCCCCGCTCCTGGCAAAAAGGTAGGTTTGCGTGCCGGTGTGTCTTTTTGGCGGGGCTGAGCGAAGCAGCGGCGTCCCGGATCCTTTCCCCTGGTTCTGGGTCAGTTTTCCCCTCGCATCGGTTCGAGCCGGGAGGATTTCCCCGAAGACGGTGCCTGACTTACTGGCAGGAATTTGTCCCTTGTGGACCTCCTGTCGTTGGACTTGGCTCCCTACAAACATGCCAGCGGAGCAAATGTGAGTTGTTTTGCAATTCCTGCGTCTCGGCCGGTGGTGGAGAAGGAGTCAGGTGCGGGGAAAATGATCTCCTCTCCCTCGGAAGGGTGCAGAGCTTTTCTCTCAGGTAGTGGCTGGTGGGTGAGTTGCTGCTCCGGCCAGTTTCGCTGCTGTCGGTGCCAAAGGCCAACAGGGAGAAGGAAAACACGATGAGAGAAAGGCCGGTCGGGAGCGCACTAGACCTTTGCTCAGCAAACAAAAGATCACTTTGTAAAACCATCCGAGGGAGCAGCGAGAGCGTTTTTAAGGGCTTGGCTGCTGGGAAGGTTTCGGGCCAAAGGTTCTCGCCTTGCCCGGGGTAGGAGATGCCGTTTCCATCCAAAGGCCACCGGGACTAATGTTGCAAACAATGCGCCGCGATACCTGGGCGGTGGGCTGGGATGGAGGAGGGAGCGCCTAAAAAGGGATGGGTTTGCCAGGCTAAGGCTCTGCCCGGTCAGAGATGCTGTTTTTGTTTTCTTCCCCGTGCTCTCGGCTCCGAACATTCAAATGTTACGGGCCAGATCCCCCTCAAAACCCACCAAAGCGAGGAGCCGCGTGTGGAGGGTTTCGTGGAGGTGTGGAGCGCAGCTGGTCGTGTTTGGCTGCTGGAGGGCGTTTTTGTTGCTCAGGCAGTACTCTCTGTACCAGGAAAAAGACGTAAGAATGTTTTGAGTAAGTATTTGCATCTGTGGCGTGTTCTTCTGCTGCTCTTGGGACATAAGTGTGTCGCAGGGAGGAATTTCATGGCTCGTAGCTACGTCTGCCAGGCCTGGGAGGTAGCTTGATTTCTCACTTCTCCCCAGCACAGAAGCACAATCTGAAGCGCGGTGGCTTTTTTTAATTATTTTTTTGGCATGTCATGGCCGCTCCGATAAGCCCGGCGTGGGGCAGGGCAGCCAGCCAAGCCTGTGCTGTCCTGTGCAAACAGTAACTTCAGTTTCTTCTGCAATAAACCTAAAGGAATTTGGTTTCTCGTGTGACTCAGGATGGTCACAAGATGACAGAGGGTTGAGCTCGAAATGGGTGCGTGAGGTAGGGGTGTGTGACTCGGGTCTTTCACTGTCACGCTCACCCTCTGTCCCTGGAAGGGAGGCAGCCTGGAGGACTTGGTGTCCTTTATTGTCTTCTCTGTTTTCCCTTGTAAGTCCCAATGTTATCAGTTTATACTGTCGTTGCCCTTAATAAGGAACTGGAGATGAGAAATAATACGCTGGCAGAGTTTCTTGATTGCTTTACTGCCCACGTTGAGGAAGGCAGCACGAACACGCCGTACGGAAACTTAGCTCTCACGCACGCTGTTTCCATGTGTTTCTTCTCAAGAATTAGAAGAGAAGTGAGAAGATTATTCTTCTAAAATCCCTTCCTGCAGGAGCACTGGGGTTTGCAGTCAGCGCAGGAGTTGATCTCAAGCGGTGCGTTTGAGCTACTTGGGTGAAGCGAGTCGCACGCTGTGCCAGCAGCTTTTAGATCTTCTGGGTTGTCTTTTTTTCGTACGGGAAACGGGCTGTTTCCCCTTCTGCCAGCACCACGAAGCTGGCGTTGGCTTTCGCTGTGGTCTGGGAAACCTCAGCGCCTGAAAATACAACCTTCTCGGCTCTTTCTGCGCTGCCCAGGCCCACCCTGTCGATCTCAAAGTCTGTGGTGTCCATCCCAAGCTGGCTGATGAGTCGATGGATTTCATTCCTCACGTGACGCTTGCTTTGGTTTTTATTGATCACCACCTGAGGCAGGTGTGGCTGGAAAAGGGGAGGTGGGAATTACCTCTCGGATGCACGGGCCGGGGATCCGCAGGATGTAATTACCTGGCAAGAATCTAACCGCCTCGTCCAATGACTCTGCTTCACCTGAGACCTCCCTGGTTGGTATTTTAGGAGCATTGAGGGGCTTTTGGTGCCCACACGTCCTGCTGGGTCCACCAAAGGAGTCAGAAACCAGCTTCTACAGGAGATGCTGATCCCAGGTAGACCCAGCTTTGTGCGCACCCCAGAAACCCCCTTGCTGTGGTCTTGCTGTTCTGTGATCGCTCTTTGCTCTCTACTTTCTGGTAAGCGTCTCCAGACCAGAGTGGACTGTGGCAGTTCCCACCGTCCCCGTGTGCCTGCCCAGTTTCCTGCTCGCAGAATTAGTCACTTCTGCATCTGGTTTGTCCAGTCTGGCAGAGGACGGTTGCTGTCTAAAAATACATCATGTAGCTGGCTTACAGAGGAGGAGGAGGAGGAGTGGGAAGGTTTGCTTACGCACAGGGCTTCTCTCTGAGCTCTCCGCACACAGGAGACCTCTGAACTCGATGAAAATCTCTCCTTGCATGCTCTTTTTCCAAGTTTCTGCGGGGAGTCAGCGCTCTGAGGGGAAAATGAGGTGTGGAGGGAATGAGGCAACATCTTTCAGACCCTTTCGCTCGATGGGCACGTGGCTGTCCTGCCCCCGGCAGCAGCCACGCCGGCCGGGCTAATGCTGTGACCAAACCCCTTCGATCCCGCAGTGAGGAGGAGCAAGAGGAAGTAGCTGAACCTGTGACTAAGGCAGAAAGAATATCAAGGAAGGTTTTCTCTTAATCATGTTTATTGGAGCAGTTTCCTCGAGAAGGGAAAGCGAGTCAGACCTTGGGGGCTAGAGATGGTTTCTCAGGGACTCGTGGAGAAGGTGAGACGGGGACGTGCGTTTGGATCCTCTCTGGTTTCCATCTTGCTGTGGCCGAGGTGAAAATCGCAGTCGTCACTTGCTTCACATAACGATGATCTTTTGATTGTGTCACGTTTATCGTCTGTCTGGCTTTGGTTTCTGCCTAGCTTAGAGGATGGTGCCCAGAGGAGGTGTTTTTCCCTGACGGGCAAAGGGGATGCAAGGGCAGCGGGGGCTGAGGTCAGGTGGGAACTTTTTGTGCTCAGCCTGGGCAGAGAAGATTCAGCCTCTTACTCAGAGGTCAGGACACGGGGCATTGCCGCAAATCTTCCCGGCACAACCCGATGTGGCTTTCCTGTAGCGCTTGGGGGATGCTTCAGATCCTCTGCCTTGCACTGAGGGTTTGCAGGGATCGCCGGTGCTTACCTGGGCAGTTGGATGAACTGAATTTTGGGGGCGTTTTGCAGAGGACCTCTGATTCCATGCTGCCGTTTTGCTGCCGCTTCCACCCTGTACCGTTATGCTTCTCATGTCCGGAGCGCACGGTCCCTCTTTTGGGGAAGAGACGCCAGCTGGCTGAACCCACCCTGTGTTATTAAGGCTGTGATTTAACAGCTTGTGCCCAAAAATTGAAGTTTCCTTGGGTTACGCTTCCAGGTGCGATCGTGGAGGGCGAACGGGGCTCAGAGCATCCTCTGTGGCCCTGCCAGGTCTTCTGGTAGCGCTGGGTGTCGGATAGAAAGAACTTTCAACCTCAGACGTGCTGGTTTCTTTCTGCCCAGCCTTAGGCAGCAAATCTCACACGCACCCCAAGCCTTCCTTCCCCGTGCTGCAGCGGAGAGCTGTCAGGTGATAAACTCAGAGCAAAAACTGGTTGCTCTGGTCTCGGTGGCCTTCCAGCAAGTGTTTGCAGAGGATTGAGCTTGACAAAAATGTAGGGTAAGGTGCCTGCTGCACCCTTTCTCCTGAGTGAATACCGCAGGGAGGAGCGGCTTTGGAGGGTGGGAGGAGAGGACAGAGATGGGGTGAAGGAAAGGGCAAAAGGAGCCGGAGGAGTGATGCAAGTAGGAGCTGGGCTTCCCCACAGAGTGAGGCGAGATAAGGGGGTGAAGCCAGAGATAAGGGGGTGAAGCCATCGAGCCTCAGGGAAGAGCAGCGAGGATGTGCAGGGATCCCATTCCCTGGTGGGTTTTCCTGACTTTTAAGAGGCTCATGACGTTTGTGTCGAGCTAAGCCGAGCTGTTACGCGTCTGTTTGTGTCAGCCCTGGGCTGAGCGAGGACGAGGCAGCGTCCGACCCAGCATCGTGTTGGCGGGGGGGGCACATCGCAGCCCTCCCGGAGCGCAGGACTGCGTTTGAACGCAGCGGATTTGTGCCAGTCGGCACTTTGCGCTGGCGTCCCGAGCCCCGGGAAGCTGCCAGATGCCCGGTGAGGCTCAAAGAGAGGGGAAAATGGGGAGGTGGAGACTGCAACAGCGCAACATCCGCGTGGTTTGGGTGGTTTGCAGCCCTCGTGTGGTCCTCTTAGTTTTTTTAGTTGATTTCTTTCGGTTGGTGTTTGCGCTGAACGTCTGGATCCCGAGCACAGATACTGAGGATATAAGGAGAGTTTTGCAAACGTAAGGGAAGGAAGTGGCTGGGGTTTTTTC